GCTGTGTTCACTTGCTTCTTTTTACAACTCACACCTAGACTCAGCTGGAAGAGCAGCAGGATACCAACCATGCTTTACTCTTACCTAGAAATGGATGCTGGTCCTGACTCAGCTAGGGCTGATGTAGGTCTTCAGAAACTCTTTAGGGGTCTCTATGTCAGCAGGTTAATGTATAACCCTGTTGTTTTTGTCTGTATGCAGAGGTCCGCTGCTTCTCTGAGTATGGTTGGAGTGGTGCTACCACTGATTAATTGATTCTAGCGTGTTCTTAGGGCCTTATCTTCACCAAACTCTTAGAGTCCTGAGCTTAACTGTTCTTGGGAGACTCTTGCCTCATGGCACATACGTGTCTTCTTTGCCCATTGATTTCTGGTTGCCATTCCTCTGTCTGTGCTCATAGATCCCTAAGGAGCCCATTAAGCCAAACTCTTGCAGAGAGGTTTCTTTGGCAGGAACAACACTGCTGAGATGCTGCCTGCAACTGAGGGAAGCCAAACATACATGAGAGAAAGGAAAAAATAATCCTGTTGCGTAGCTGGGAAACAGGCCACAGGGTGTTACTGACTCGTGTTACCCCTGGCATGTAGCCTATAGCAAGCCTGTGCACTGAAAGCACAGCCCAGGATGTCTGCATCGTCCTTGCTCAGTGTTTCACTCTTGAGAAGCAGCACCCTTGTGGTTTTCTGCTTTTTTGCTCCCATTCTTGATTTGCTGCAAGGTACGCTGTTAAAATGTAGGAGGGCAGCTCTGAAAATAATGCCTCCTATTTTATTATGTTGGTCTGTAACATCAAGGATGGATATTGATAGTATGAAAGTAGAGGTTGAACCTTCCTGACAGTATCCCATTAAATTTTGTTGGTGTGTGACAGATTGCAGCAGAAGGGCAGTCTGACAAAATGGTGTCTGACATGGAAGTGTCTCTGAATCAAAGGTGTGGAATTCAACTCCTCTGTGCAGAAAAAGTTACACCCTTTGAGATTCCGCGATATTTGCTGAGCATTTATGGAGACTAGACAGTGGATGAGAGCACAGTGAGGTGGTGGGCACTGTGTTTCAGCAGTAACGCCAGCTATTGTAGGACACCTCTTGGGTGATTAAGAGAAATTATTGTTGAAACTGTAATGAACTATAATTTGTTTTGCAGGTGTCAGTTTGTTTTACAAACCCTGTCTTCCTACTATTCCTCAAGGGAATAGGCCAAAGGGAAGCAGCATTTTACAAACCTCTGTTTTTATTCTGCTCTGGTTGCTGTTAATATTTCTGTAGTTAACTATGACAAAAGACATGCTTCAGGATAAAAATTTTGACTGCATTGATTTGGTAGTAATGATATCAACATTAGATTTTGCAGAGGACACAGAGTCATGACCAGGCCTAATACTGTAACTTCATGTTGACCTTTTCTCTAGTTCTTTTTTTTAGCCTCTGAAAGCTTGTTAGATTTTATAGAGAAAAGACTATGTGGAAATTGCTTTTGTCTTGGGTAAATTCCTTCACATAATATACACTGTATCTTCAGTGTTTATAGACTAACGATGAAACACTACTGCTTTCAAAAATGTCACAGTGTGTTTTGTATGAAAAACATCTGGACCTCATTCTTTCTTTTTGCATTTGCACCTGCTGCTGTGCTGATATGAACTCCTAGTAACTTTAACAGTTGCAGGATTGTGCAACTCAAAAGAGATGAGCAAATTCCTGGCTCTTCCCTCATCTGAATTAAAAATCGGACATGCGGTGAGAATAGATTCATCTGTAGGATCCATTACCTGTCCCTACAATACCTGATGTTGCTCTAGTCTAACAGGCAAAAAGGAAGTCAAATAATCCTTCACTCTGTGCCTTGTATTCCTTTGAGAGATTGTGGTTCTCTGATGACACCAACCCAAAAGCATAAATTCCTTCAAATACCAGCAAATTTTGTAATTTGTAGGTATTCTTCTCTGGGGTGTCTTAGTAACTGTGCTTTTTCTTTATTAAAAAAAAAAAAAAATATATATATATATATATATATATTTAAACAAGGTTTTGGTTGAGTAAAGTTATTTCCCCTTACATTTAGAATATACCTCAGGTGTATTTAAAATGGTTTAATGCTGTTCTTTTCAATGTACTTTATACTCATGAAAGTGAAATTCATTCGAAGTTCCTAATCTTAAAAACATTCTTGAAGACTTTTACTTCCTCCTCCTGGTATGCTTAGGAGTAATTATAATACTTATTTGAATAACCTTAGTTTATACTATACTTACAAGAGGATATTATATGGAACAAGAATGGCTTAGATGTTCAAACTGTATGTAATTAACTGATTTTGAATGCTACCTTGAGATGAAGGTTTGATGATCCCTGTGTTTGATATGTAAACATCCTATTGTTTATGTTATGTTGTTGGGAAAGAAATAATAAGAGACAGCATATAAATTTTTGGCCGATACTAGACTTTGTGTTTCACCACTTTTTGAAGTAATCTTGTTTTTTGAATGTGTTACTTGCAGCAAAATATTCTATTAATACATGGAAAAATTCTAGACCTGCTGGGAATTTAGGGATCTAAAAATGACACTGGAACTTGGCTGATCAAGAAGCATGGAGTAAAATTTTGGCTGTTAGATGGAACAGATCTTAGAGGACGTTGGAGGCATGTTTGGGCTTTGAAAAACTAGTGGCCTTTCTCAAGAGGAGAATTAGTTGAACCTTTGCTTTTGGAGACCAAGAGAAGGAAAAAAATCTAAATATTCTACTACATGCTGAAAAGATTCAGCCTATACTGAAAGATTTAGAACAGAAAATTTGTGTCAAGTAGAAATAACAAGAACTGATAATTAAAAGGAAGTTGAGTGTTTTTTCTTGTGTAATTCAGTTCAAAGTCATGGATCAAGAGAGGCATCTGATCAATAAAGTCTTGCCCTGTTTAACTATAGTAGAATGACTTGATTAACATCTGAGCCAATTTCCCCATGGTACCTCAGACTTGGAGTAGGCAGAAAAGGAGTTGAGTCTCCAGACTGATTTAATGCATAGGAAAAATGAGTAGCCAGAAATGGAAGGAGAAATGTGGAACAGTTCCATCAAAAAGCTTAATACAGTGAAACAAACAAGTATAATCTACTTCTAAATGTTGAGAAAATTTTCAACAATGGGTTTGCTTAAAGGATATATTGAAATTGTAGGAGATATGTACCTAACCTACTTGTGCAAACTGCACTTAGGTGCCTTGCTGTCTTTGCATATCTGAGGAAGATTGAACTCGTGTCAGGTCCCTAAGTGTGTTTTTATGACTTAATGACCCTGACCAACCTCATATGGAACTTTGGAACTCATTTGGAACACCCTGTCTACTGCTCAGAAGTATGAAGGTCAGTCCTTGCATCTTTAGCCCCTTGCTCTGGTCTACCTTGGAGAAGTGCTGGCCTGTAGAATAGTCACAGCCAGTTCTTTGCTTGGCTATGGACAAACTTGATCCAAACCCCAGTCTGTAGACATACTTCCTGGCTTTATCTTAGACTGTTTTATCTTGGACCTCCTCACCTCCATGGAGTCGCATTATGATCTGGACTCTTGCTTGTCCACCACCTCAGGGCGTGCCTTTGGGAAGCTGAGGGTGATGGGTTAGACCCTGCTGGCCCCTCTGGGGATCACCAGCCACTACTGTCTCAGTTTCCATTAGAAAGCAGACCTACTTCCTCTTATTACTTCCTCATGGCTTCTGGGTTTACTTATTTATTTCTATCACCTGTCCCCTCCTGTTTTTTTTTTCTTGTTGTGATAAAGTAAATTGTATTCTGAAGACTTCTGTTTCTGTCCACTGGCTTCACAGAAATGCCTAAATTAGATCTGATTCCTAACCTGTAATCAAAAAATTAGTGTTAAATGAGCAAAAACACACCCATAGTAAATCTAGAATTCCCTTTCATCTCTGGGATTAAACAGATATATATATTTTTAACCTAATTCCTACTTCCTTGAGCTTGGCTGTTTCAAAGATTCTCTTGCAGGTCTCCTCCATTATAGATCTCCATATCTCCATTAGCCATTCCCTAAAGACCAGATATAATCCTTTCATCTCTCATGTGTAGTTATTACCGCTTGCTGTAATGAATCAGCAGAGCTTTAGCAGCTTTAGATAGATATCTATGTAATCTCTTCTTGGGCTGGTCAGCAGAATCTCACTACAAACCTGTATAGTGATTCTTCACATTTATCACGTAAGCATTCAAGTACTTAGGATTTTACTAATGGGAATACCCTGGAGAGAAGATAATAAGCTTCTAGAAAGACAAATATTAATCTTTGGTGTTAAGAATTTTGCTGAAAGTGTTTAAAATTGTGTGTCTGTATATTTTGCAGGTTGAGCGTGTTAGGCTATTAACATTAGTTGAAGAGCACAGTAAATTAAGTAGGTCTTATGCAAGGCAAATTTCAGTAGGAGTTAATTATGGATAAGCAAGGAATAGACAAAGTATGAAATAATGAATCTCAACATCACAAAGTTGGTGAGAGCTTTGTCATTGATTTCACAGTGGGCTAGATTTCATGAAAGTCCTTACTGAGTGGAAGAAGGGAATTTTTCCTAATGGATAAACTAGTTTCATGTTAACAACTGTTTAATGAAATAATTTTAATAATTATGAAACGAGCATGTGAAAATTTAGATATGTATGCAGATAATTCAAAAATACAAAGTAAATAAAACGCCTAAGTTAATTATTTACTTTGAATTGTTGTTTTTTCTACTTTGCCTCTAACTGCTGGCAACAGTAGTTAGCATCACTAGTTTGTTTTGACTGGAAAAGTTAACAAGTGATACAGGGATTTGGGAACTCTTAGGTCACAGCCTGAATTGGTGATTGAGCACCTGGTGAAAGGGCATAGCCAGCCCAAGGAGCACAGATGGAAGCAATTCACCTGTGCAACCTGAAAGGGTGGACGCTGGTTCCACCTTCTTCAAACCTCATTTAAGGGCTGGCAGCCACAAGGGCAGTGTTTGTGCTTGGAGATTACCTCCTTTGGAGCACTTGGTGAGCTAAATTCTCAAAAAGAGGTAAACAATTCCTTCTTTTTTTTACTGTACTGTGACTGCTAAATTTTTGGGGTGATCTGAAAATGGCTTAAGGTAACTATATCTGGTGTTGCCAGTCCTTACATAATAGTTTGCCACTAGTTCAGCAAAATCTACTGCCAAAAACTGCTCATGATGTTATTAAAACAAATAAAGAGAGAGAAAAATGAATATACTAAGTTTAGTATTTGTAAGTGGAATATCTATTAGAGTGCCTGCTACTTCAGAAGAATCTGTAGTTTTTGTAATGATGCTTTTCATTCTAAGTGATAGTTTCAAACAAATGCAAATAACAGAGAGTCTTAAGGTTGAGTTGTTGCAAAGTTGACTGTGAAGCACACTCCATTAATATTCCCTGTTTCTATTGCATAAGAGAATTTTTCCGTGGTGTTTTGGGGTTTTGTGTCTCTTCATTTTTGGTGAGTTTAAGACATTTGGTTCTGGCAAAGTGAGAACTTGAGAGAATGCTATAAGGAAGGCACACTGCATGAACTAGGCAGCAAAGGGACTTCCTCTTTCTCTTGTGTGGAGAGATCCTAGCCTTACCTGTATGGAATTAAACAGGTTTTTGTGCATTACTTGATTGCTGGATGTTATACTGAGTTTAACAAAACCTTGAGGTTTCTTAAACATGACTCTTAACTGAGGTTGGGGTTCTGTGCTTGTGATTATTGGTGACTGTATCTAGTATGGTCATATCCAGGGATGAATCAAAATCAAATGAACGTGGGTGTTTACACACACAAACTATAGTCTAGTTGGGATTTATTTTCCAGTTTCTAACAAAAAAACATATGTTCCATTCCACCAGAGGAAGTTGATTGGATGCTGTGGTGGGAAAATTAGTTCCAGGCATCACCTGTAGCAGTATTTACATTTGCTAGATAAATAAAACCCACATTACCTTCCAAATAAAAATCATTATCATATATATATATATATATGTATATAGTTATTTATAATATAATATTATATTATTATATAATATATTATATATTATATATATTTATATTATTATGTATATTATAAATATATATTTATAATATATATTATATAATAATATATAATAATATATAACAATATATAATAATATATATTATTATATAATATATATATGTATATAGTGAGTTCCTATTATGATTGTCAGACTCCTGCATTTGGAGTGTACGTGCTGTGAAGTGCCCTGCAGATGAATGGTAGTGGCTTTGTGCTAATGCAGGGCAGGATTGATGTGTGGGACAGTCATATCTCCTATCGCTGTATCTAGTCACTTTTGAAACTACAGCTGTCATTCAACATCCTCCCTGCAAGGCATTCCTTGTACTTAAAAATCATTTGTACTGGTTGTTTCACCCTGTGGGTCTTCCTTGAGCAATTTAATTCATAAAATAAACAAAACTTACTGTAGATTCTGAAAATCTTCAGAACTGCTTTCCTACCTTTTAGCTAGTCATATTTCTTTTATGTTCTACATTCATGTCCATACAATGGGGAACAGTACAATTGTGAAGGCTGCAGGGCAGTCAGAAGAATTTTTTTTAATGCAATTTAAAAAAAATGTTTGCAGTTCATATTCCCAAATAAAAGGTCTTAGTTTATTTTATTTTTAATATTAAAAACAGTTCATAATGCTTAGGTAGGTGCTAGTGTCTGCCATAATCCAACTTGTGCTGTCATAATTACATCATAATTTTTACATCATTTATTTGTAATGACTACTTAGGAATGATGCTAAGTAATAAAACCATACCAGTGCCAGAATGTGAAAAGATGTCTGAAGTATCTCCCCTCGTGAATTTAAAATGGATTCCTTATTTATCTTTTTCCTGGATTGCTGGGAAAGAAAAATAATGAAGTTCAGTGTGAAGAAAAGCAAGTTCTGGGATTTAGCAATCTTTGTTTGTCCTATTTCACAAGCAGAGCAATGCCAGATGGACCCATTTTTTTTTTTTTTTCTGCCAGCTGTAGCTCCCTTGATTATTCTTTTAGCAAGATGTCAAACAGAAAGCCAGCAAACATTAGATGTAATAGTAATAATGGGAGATGATAGTGCATAACTGGATTGTACTTTTGCAGCTGAATTGCTATTGATTTTAGAGAATGTAAAATCTCATTGTGAGACAGCCATCTCTAGCTCTTGGGTAAGCTCTGCCACCTTGCTTGCAAGAAGCAGGGCAGTACCTTGCAAATGGCTCTTTTTTTTTCCCAAGAAGATGCATTGTACGAAGCAGAATTGCATGCTATGAGCCTGGCTGCTGTCGTTTGTCTCTCTGAAAATTAGTTCTTTTCTTATGGAAATCATTAAAGAGCATTACACTGACTTGAGTTGTACAGAGCTGAGTTACTGGTGATCACTGAAGATGGCTTTGTATTGTGTGATGCTGTAGTAACTAATTATGTGGCAACAGACAAATAAGATACTGTGGAACCCAATGAAACTGGGAATTGCTTGAGTCTGAAATGCATTTTAAAAGTAGTTGGGCTGTAATGCACATAATTACATGTTTAATATGATTATTTTATTACCTTTTTCCTGCAGATTTCTTTCCCAAGGGAGTTATATCCTGCTTTCTTTATCTTGATTTGCATGTGAAGAAGGAACTTAAGAGATTATTTTTGTCCATGTTTTTCTTTTGTTCCCTTATATATGTATAATTTTAGAGGAAAAATAAAAATTTTATTTCATTATTTGCTGATGAGGTACAGCATATTTACTGTTATGCAGCTATTATAGAATATCTGTAGTGTTCAGTTGCAGCAAATAATATTAGTAAATTTGGATTTTGTTATGGCTTTGTTCTTTCAAAGTTCACAGAAAAAAAGGAGATGTTATATTTAGTTTAACTTTTATATGACTGTATAAAAGAAATGTCTGCAGTTGTAAATTGTATGTCTCTTTGTCTCCCTCTTACCAGTAGATCTTTCATTTAAGTCATTGTTTTTTGGATAGCCTATAAGCATCTCACAAGCATATTCATGTTCTTCATTCTTGAGAGAATATTTGTTTTCAGGCTGTATTAACACAAATTGTTTCTCTGTGTAGTGTACATATCTACATAATTATGGAAACGTCACAAATAATTCTGCAGCGTGTGGCTTTCATTTTCTTCTGTACTGATATCAAACAGCAGTGTAATTATGGGGAACAATATGCAGTGATATCTTTAACTTGCAGAGACAAGATGTCACATCTAATACAGTGTATGTGTAATAGGGTAATATAGCCTGACAGCAGTAAGTTCAGACTGCACGCTCAGGTATACATTGGCATGCTGGAGCAAAGGAGGATATAGAGTTCAGAAAGCAGAACTCTTATGAAATACATAAAACTAGAAGTATAGAAATCATACTCTTCTTTCCTTTTCTGTAATAAACTTCTGATGGCTTAATTTTTTTTGGTCAGGCTTTCTTGCTGCATTATTATTGGAAAGCATTGTAAGAGAAAGCACAGCACTGGTATTTAAAACATAGGTTTCTTTCTTTCCTCCTCTTGTTTTTTCTTTCTTAATTGCTTTCTTGATTTCTCTCCAATTTATGTAATTCAATACCACATTGTGTTGACTATATATATAGTGCCACACATTATCTCTGCTTGTGTTGTGTATATTGCACTTCATGTAATAAAAACTGGATCTGTTCCAGGTTTAATTTTCCTTATCGCTACAAAAAACAAAGATGGCTGATCTGAGTTCAAGATATGACTTGGACCACTTTCAGAAAAATAACATGCGATAAGGCTGAGCTGCTGTCTCTGGCAGAGTTCAGGAACTCAGTTATAGGTTTAAAGGGTTTCTGCTCCTGTGAAGATTTTAAGGACGCCAAGGCTGAAATAATCAATTGTATTGCTGTTAGCAGAAATGAATGGGGGGGGATATGTGAATCAAATATTTACTAGGGTAAGGAAACCATAACAAACTGGCTGGCTGAGGAGTCCTTACGTTGGTTCAGTGCAGTGGCAGTTGGATTCCCTGTGCTTGAGGACAAACTTCATGCAATTAAACTTGATTAGATATATGGAGGATAAGTCATTTTTAAACAATATATATAATTTGTTAAGGGTGAAAATGTGTCTGATTTTTTTCAGACAGTGATATCTCTTAAATACCTTATCATTCAAATATTTTTTCTTTTGTATCTCATGTTTCCAGTCTAGGTAGACAGTTCTGGCAAAATGGGGAAGGCATCCCAAGTGAGACTGCTAACAATATTTTGGGAGACTTAACAAATGAAAGGCTCTGTATGTGAAGGCATTTCAGTAATAAACATTGGCACAAAGGGAGCAAGGGAGTAATTTTTACACATTAAAAAGTGTATGTGCCAGCACTTGATAGCAGAGTCCAACTCCACTGCTAGTAAATTGTTCTTCCTTACTAGAAAAGAAACATGATCTGCACTGAGAGGTTTATAGATCCTATATACCACCTGAGGCAGGAATTCCAAATTTTTACCAGGCAGGAGCAAATAATAGTTTATTTAGGGGGGGAATAAAGTTCTGCAGTCCAGTTTCTTGTCTGAACAGCAGTGTTATTGCTTTTCTTTCTGAGTCCTCTCAGAAACAGAAACTCGCTCTTTAAATGGTGACATAAGTACTCCTGGAATTGGATCTTGAAACAGATTCTCATTGCCAAGCTTAGTAATGGGTGTAGCTGGAAGAGTATATGGGATCTGGATGTATGGCTAAGGCACTGTCCAGACAGTTCTGGGATGACTCTTCCATGTGTCACTGTTGACTTTGGCTGGAGGCGTTACTTCCTGGAGCACTCAGATGTGAGTTTTCATTCTAGTGTTGTGGACGCTGACCTTTTAATTGGTGTAGTTCTATGTCTCTCAGAAGTAGCTACTTTCAAAAGTTCCATTTTGGACCATGCAGCAGTGATTCATGGGCTGCGTTTCTGGAACTCTGCTCTGAAAATATTGTTTCTGCCAGAAAAATAGAATGGCTTGGGTTGAAGGGGACTCTAAAAATCATCCAGTTTCAACCC